GTTTAATAATAGTTTGCAACACCCCCTCTGATGCATTGTTGCACAGGACAAAGGTCTGATGGATTCTGTTCAAAAGGATGATATAAAACCAATTGCTTCAGCCCTGATGTCATCACTGTGGTCTTTGCACTGCTTTCCCAGAGGCTCATCTGCAAAGTTCACTAAGGAGCACATCTTCATTCATGGAGGAACTATCTTTGAATAGTCAATAGACATCACCATAACTTCTGTAAATCCTAAGGCACATTGCAATAAACTGGATGGCCTCTGCAGGCTTGTATTGATGGAGGATAAATTGAAAAAACAGTGACAATATCTGTTACAGGGCCTTAGAGACAGAACTGAATAACTTGATTTAACTTCACAGTTAGTTTGACTTTGAGCAGATGGTTGGACCAGCTGACCTCTAGAAGTCCCTCCTGCCAATTTAAATTTTTCTATGACTCTAACCTATATTTAGCTCCTTAGACTGAGTAAAATGATTCAATTTCAAAAACAAAATAGCTTCTCAGCTAAAATGGGACCAACGAAAATAAAGAGATAACCTAAAACAATCTTAGGAGCATGTTTGTGTTTCTTTAAATTATATAAGCAATCCACACAGGTCTTTCCTTCTTTTTCTATAATCTGTGGTATCCTGTGAGGCTACAGTGTTGGGACACAGTAAAAAACTCTTCTAGAGGGCCATCTTAGTTTAGGAGGAAATTTAAAAAAAAAAATTAGAAAATCTCTGGTCTGCATAGAATGACCACAGAATTAGGAATACAATAAAACCTGAGCAGTTACTAATATTGAAAAGTAATAACTCTGTTCTTACTAAGAGAAAGACTGCTGTTATAGCAGCTATTGAAGTCTTCATTACAGCTAAAATAAACTATTTCAATGCAACAAGGGCAACTGTAGGGCTGAACAAAGTTCAGTAAATTTCAGCAAAGGCAGGATCCTGCACCTGGGGAAGAACAACCCTCTGTGCCAGGACAGGCTGGGGCTGACCTGTGGGAAAGCAGCTCTGGGGAGAAGGACCTGGGGGTGCTGGTGGACAACCGTCTGTCCATGAGCCAGCAGAGTGTCCTGGGGGCCAAGAAGGTCAATGGGATCCTGGGGGGCATTAGGAAGAGCACTGCCAGCAGGGAAGTGATCCTGCCCCCCTGCTCAGCCCTGCTGAGGCCACATCTGGAGTGCTGTGTCCAGTTCTGGATTCCTCAGCACAGAGGAGATGCAGAGCTCCTGGAACTGGTCCAATGGAGGGCAACAAAGATGACTGAGGGACTGAAGCCTCTTATGAAGAAAGGCTGAGGTAGCTGGGCTGTTCAGCCTGGAGAAGAGAGACTGAGAGGAGATCTTATCAATGCTTACAAATATCTTGAGAATGGGTATCAAGTAGATGGGGCAACAGTCTTTCAGCTGTGCCCTGTGACAGGACAAGGGACAATGTGCAAAAACTGAAACAGAGAAATGTTCATCTAAATGAGGAAAATATCCTTTACTTTGACGGTGACAGAACACTGTAACAGAATGCCCAGAAGGGTTGTGGAGTCTTCTTCTCAGGAGATATTTGAAACCTGCTTGGACATGATCCTGTGCAATCTACTCCAAGTGAAGTGAACCTACTTTAGCAAAGAGGTTGGACAAGATCATCTGCAGAGGTCCCTTCCAAACCCAGCCATTCTGTAATTCTGTGGTAACATGCTAGTTTAACTCTTCATATTAAAAAAAAACCAACAAAACATTCAAAATGTAAATAACATTTCTATTTTTAATCTCTGCAACCATCTCCCGTTTGTGTCATGAATTTTAACACAGAAAGTCCAAATATAAGTGAAAACCATACCAGACAAAGCAAAGACTACTACAACCAACCAAAATTGATCAATTTACAAATGTCCAACATGTCTGGGCTTGGGACATTTCTTTCTTGAATTATTTTTTTAACTTACACTTATCAGCCTACTTATTTCACATGGTTTCATGCCAGCCTCTTAATCTTTGTTTTAAAGTTATATATTCTAATTTAGGACTATAGAATGGTTGTGTTTCTCCACCAAAATAAATGTTGACTTTTAGTAGCAAACTACCTAAAAATGAGAACATTAGTGGAATCAACAGAGACTTCTGTGTTTACCCACTATGTAGGAGACAAACAGGTCAATTTTTTTGTCAGAAACTATTTGAACTCTAATTGCTTACCTGCAATAAAAATAGATGCCATGCCACTGAGCAGGCTCAGGTAAGGTCTCTCTCAGTATTTCCTATTATACTTGCTGCACTTTACTACCTCCTACAACTCCCTAAACACAATCTGGTGCAGCTCATAAAGGTGAAAGATGTGTGGGTATGGTTCCCAGCACAGCTGTCTCAGTAACTGCTGTTTTTCATGAAGACAATGTGATTTTCCTGCTGTATTCCTTGCACAGTCACACAGACCTACTCTGCAGTAAATTGTTACTAGCAAATTTACAGCATCTCATCCATTCACTACATAATCTCCAAACCCTTGCAAGAGCTTATAAAAGCTGCTGGCTTCTACATTTTAGTTCCACACAAGGCAATGGTTCCTGCTGAGTTATTGCATGTGCTGTCACTCAGAATACTGATATTTTCTTTTTTAAAAAGAAAAAAAGGAGGTAAGTGTGATAAACTGCCATATTCTGCCTCTCTTCACACACCTTTGCTGTCACTGCTTGTTCTGCAAGAAAAAGGAAGGCATCTTCCACTGCATGGCTAGGGCAGGCACCTAAACAGCCCAGTGCACTTCACAGAACTTGGCCTCCCCCAGGCCAAATTTGGTTTCTGGGTGTCCCTTTATGTCACTGGATGCACACAACTCCACACAAGATGAGTCAGATGTACAGTCAGCAACTCAGCTAGCACACCCCTGGCATAAGGTGACAGCAAGAAAGTCCATGTCATTATTGACAGGTCTGTGACATAGCTGTCTTTGAAACTCTCCAATCCTGAAAATTACACCACTTTGAAATCCTCTTATTTCTAAACTATGAGTCACTATAAGGATGCTGACTGCCTTATTTCTTTTTATAGTCATTTATAGCCTTTAATACAAGTATTACCTCCAGGTATGTAGCAGACAGTGAGATTCAGCTCCAGATTTAGATGGAAACATTTAGGTTTCTATGGTGCAATGCCTCTTAAGTTCAATAGCTATGTTATAATACCATTATACATGGTGGACACCTAGTTCAAGATATCTGTGTTGGAACAAGAATATTGCTGTTCTGCTCAGGATTTTCCTTCCATTAAGTAAAACAACTTTGGCAAACTATTCACAAGGTGAATGTCAGTAGGGGTGCTGGCATTCTGGTCACAGGACACATGATCTTTCTTCTGGCAGCAGGCTGGCAGGAAAACAGCTGCAGTAGGATTGATTGTTCCACTGGGCTGAATCTACAGACTGTGAGTTGCACAACCCTGTCTGACGCCTGTGGGAGACATCATTGTCTCCTCATCTTTGAGTCCTGTCCCTCATTTATCTCAACACAGACTGCCAAGAATAGAACCTCAGCTTGCAGACATTAGGCATATTTAAGCTTTCTACAAATGAGCTGTCGAGGTTCCCCTCTGGTCCCAGTAAAGAAGAGAGGCATCTCCAGAGAGCAATTCTGCTGCTGTGGGGGATGAATTGCCACAGAAGTCACCTGCTTTTCTTTTCTGACAATAAAAGAATCTTGGACAATGAGTTGACATCTCTCTTGCAGAGGCTAAAGTTCAAGGTGATCAATCCCGACAAAGCTCAGAATACATAAATCTCACTTTGGATAACGAAAACCACTTTTTTTTTTTTTTTTTGTAAACTGAACATTCCTGATTAAAATTGCTTCAACTTTTATTTAAACTTTAAATTGTTATAGCTTTCCATGAAGCAACCCAAAAATGAACTATAATAGAGAAAGAAAGAAAAAAAAAAAAGCTAGCATAGCTAAGACAGGGACAAATATTCAATATGTGCACATACTCAGCTGAACCAAAGCTTGAATGTTTTAGGGAGGAATAAGGATGGATTAGAAAGTAATTGGCATAGCAGGGCCTGGAAGGTAACCATTCAAAAAGCCAGGCAAAGGTTAAGAAGCAAAGGATACTTCTCACAGTCCTCAATATCCAGTGTGACATATTTTACATAGCATGATTGAACATTTATATAGCTGATCCTCATTCAGGGTGTTGCCACACCCATCTAAACCCAAAAGCACTTAAATATTTCTGAAAGAAGAAAACATGACTGTCCACTTTGTACCCCTTGATTTCAAGCACGAGAATTGAATGTAATTAATTTAGTGGTATTGATACACGTGTAGATTGATCAAAGTTAAAAAATGAACAGTGTGAGCACATTTTGAAATAACAGCATAGGAGCCTGTTATGGCTAAACTGGAGAAACCTATATGCTCTTAGACAACAAGAAAAGAAAATTCCTTTATTGATTTATGAATATGAATAGGCACTTTAAATTTATGCAATTTTCCTTTTGATTGGAGGACTAAACCAGAAAATTGTTGTTATTACTTTTCTGAAAACCAGAAGGATGCAGCCTAGAAGAAAACTAACTTCAAGACATTTTCTGGCTGACGGCAACTATCCAGTCTGTTCTAAATCAAGGTGACTGATAAAGTTTGGAATAAAGCTAAACATTTGTATGTTTCTCAGAACTTTTGTGGGTAATGTCAAATTCTGCTATTTAAACTTTACAGACGTAATTCCTACCAAAATAAAAATTGTCTCAGCTCTGTGAAGATCCAGTGTCCCAACATGACTGACTATAATTTTTGGATAGGTGATTCATGGTATTTCGTCCTGTAAGACATATACACAGACATTACACAAAGAGGAGAGGAAATGTTCTTCTCAAATGCGAGGATGAAGGGATGAAAGAATAGGTGTAGGATTCAACTATTAATTACTTATAATATTGTGTTAATGTTCTACAACTCTGAGATGGATGATAAGAGTCCTCCTTAGAGAAAATAGTAAAGCAAAATTTGACAAACCTGTCTTCTTCCAGTAGACTTTGACTTGAAGTTGATTGTCCTGATAGAAGGGAGTTCCAACTTTAAGAAAACGAGCGGTTTTCCTTCTTTGAAAGTTTGGGTAAGGATCTACCAGTCCTTTCTGTGGTTTCCCAGCAGATGTCCGTTCCTCTGCAATACACAGAGCAATCAGGAAACTATTTAGTTAACTACAGTGCTGTATAATGACTGTGCTAAATTTGGTGTAATTCAGAAAATAATAGTATCTTTATTCTAAATGATCTTATTTCCATTTCTTAACTAAATGAAATAACTATAAAGAATTAACTGTCCATAATGGTTGAAAAATTACTCGTTTGAAATTCAGTCAAATTTAGAAAGTGACCAAAAAGAAAATACATTTTCACAGGGAAATGCTCTGTAAATTTTCTGAAGAGTAATATGGAAATGGACTGTATTTTTATATCCCCAAGAACAAGAAATGTTAACACAATGATTTTTTAAACAGACACAGTATCTACCAGTAGTTCTTTCTAATACTTCACAGTCTTTGTATTCATGCAGTGTTTGAGTATGCACAAAATCCAAGGACAGCATTGAATGTAACCCACAGAGTGCCACATGTGGTTAATACATCAAAGTAAATATAGTCCTCTGGTATGCTATATAAGAACACTGTGGTCAGATTAAAGATCTGTCTTGCCTACTTTCCTGTTCCCAGCAGTGAATGGTGAATGCTTAGGAAAACATTGCAAGAGTAGAATTTTCTTTCAGCAATTCCCTCAGTGCTGTGTGCCTGGCATCCAACAAGCAATTGCAATTGATGTCCTTCATCAAGCATTTTGTTTGATAAAAATGTATCATGATTTAGCAGGGCTGACAGTACTTACAGATATTTTCTGTTAAAAACAAAGAAATAGTCATTCAAACTTCACTTTTCATTGCACACTTGCAAATGTATCTGATCCAATTAGGAGGATCAGATTATATCCAACAAAAAAAGATGTATTTAATTCAATATTATACCTAAATTAAAACTAAAGAGTCCAATAACAAGGAAGTGGCAAATTATTGACTACATACTTGAGAGAAAGAGGGAAAGATTCAGGTTTCAATAATTGTCAGGAGTAACATATAAACTTGAACATATTGTTTTATATGCAGCTTCAATTGAAACTCACTTGCTCTATGACCAAATTTTACTTTCTCAGCCCTTTGCTGAATATGATTTGTCATTTTGTTTTTTTGTTTTATATTAAACTACCAAACTTATCAAAATCCTTTCTTAAGGTAACCATAAAGTTACTACTACCCAAATGGAAATTAAAAAGTTATAGAGAAAAGTACAAACAAAAATCTATCAGGTATTCCTCAATTTAAATTATTTTAATTTTATTGAATCTCTGCTTTGCTATTCTCTGTCTGCTCCACTTTCACAAAAACCAGGACACCAATTTAGAATATTTCTATATAAAGATCAGGCAAGAATCTTGCTACATTTCCCAGAAGTGAAGCACACAAATATAGTGAAGCAATGCCTTTCTGAGTGTGGGGAAATGTAATGCCAGAGGGCTGAGGTCAAAGCTCACAGAAGTGTGTAGGACTAAATTACTTCAGAGGGGTATGGACTATCTCTATTCTGACAATAGGACCAGACACCTAAAAACCAGAGCTTAATTCCACACAGAGCAGAGTATCTGACAGTGGGACTTCAGCAAAACTGGCACATTGCTTCTGGAATTACACTTAGCATGTGAGGTTCTAAAGACCTTAACAATATATAACCCAACATCTGAACACCTTGAGACCTTAATTTGAATGTGGGTCCTATGGGTACAATATTTTGAGAATGCATGGTCGTCAAACATGGAATGTTTTAGATTCCGTAAAAGAAGAGTCAGTGTTTTATATATAAATTCACAGTAGACAAAAGCTTTTGTGCTCCAAGAATCTGACTTAATGGGCTACTAAAAATAGCCAGGATTTTGAAAAACATTGCAGGTTAATACTGTCTAGTTAAGACACACAAAAATGGTTTTATTCCATCCATTTAGAAACACAGTCAGAATCTATACCTGTATGGAATGTAAAAAAAATATTAACACTACATTTATGCAAAGGCTTCCATTTTCTTTGCAACTGTTTATTTTAGGTGAGTAGAATCTAAGTCAAAGAATTAGGCAAAAACAGTCACCAATTTTTAAACAAGACTTTTAACAAGAAAGGGTTACTCAACTTGACCAAGAGATGATCTTTGTGCTATGGAATAACCCACTTAAAAAAAAATATTTTTTAAAATTTAAGAAATCATTATATAAAACATTCAAATTCCAGATAAAGGAGAGAGAAAGCATTCAGGTGTTTGATTACTCACTATTATTCCTGATGTCCTGGGTCGTGCTAAAATGGAGAGAAACTTTAGCACTTTTTAGGCGTATCTGACCCCAGCGTGTTACTGCCTGCAGCTCTACATTGTAGTTGCTGTTGGGTTGGAGCCCCTCCAGGACCACATAATTTTGGGCCTATAACAGAATAAATACAGAAAGCAGTTATAATATTGCTGAAACACAGGCCTTTCTTAAAAGCAGGCTTGTTATCTTACGGACACGAGCTTTTTGAAGTTAGAAAACCATATATAAATTTCAGAGCAAAATTTCCTTTCTGCAAAAGATTTCTTTAATTGGACTCTGTTTTTCTGTGTCATTTTAAAAATACTAGCCTACTTGATGTTTGCATAATTTTGGCAGTTTCTTGGCAATTCCAAACCTATTGTTTAGGAAAAACTTAAGGGGTTTTCGACTATATAACAAGGTTTTTCTCTTATTCCAAAATCATTTTAGCAAAAGGAATTTAAGGACTTTATTCCACAATTTCTGCGTTAGTAAAGCAATTGAAAACTTTTTTCTAGAGACAGCCAGTCTGAAGATAGCTAAAGTCCAACATTTAATATATTTTTCAATACTATTTCTTTCAATTCTTGAAAATAAAAATTTAAAAAACAAGCAGCAACCAAAAATACCCTCTCATTGGAAAGCATACTTTTCCTGTGTAGAATGGAAAACAGAACAGGAAAAGAAAATAATTTCCAATGTCACAGAAGTGTATAAAATGGGGAAACAACAGCTTAGGTTTATCATTCTCCAGTCAAAAACCCATACATTAAGGCAAGGCATATGATATTGTAAAGAAGAGTCCAGCTTTCACAGTCTTATATTTTATTTTGCTGGATTTAATTATAAAAATATCCTTCTAGTCCATATGCCAGGTGGAAGATATTGCTCCATGTTCTCATTAGAATTTCTAGTGCCTATCAAGTGTGATAGTCCATACAGAGTTAAAAAGATAACCATGTACCAAGGTAACCATCCATATTTAACACTTGGGATGTTAAAAAGGGGATTGCCAAAAAGTATTTAGTATGAATTATCTTTACTTCTTTAGTGCTGATATATTGACTATAACTTTTGATTAACAGTGTCAATATTGTAGTCAAACTAATTCAATGTCTACCTGGAATGAACTCATATTGAAATCAGTACAAAATTATTTGGCTTGGGCTACATCTAAAGCTAAAAACTGAACAAAAATAATCTTCAGTGATCTTTAACAATTAAGACTTTTCCACTTTTCCTTTTTTTGTTTTTTTAAATGTTTGTGCATTTGACATTCTTTAGCCTAAGAGCTGCTACAATATTCAAATGACCATTGATTAGCAACTGCATCTGTAGTGTCCTGAATCTCACTGGCAGTGCTGTACAATTTCATGACATGCTGCAGAGGAAAAACTACAAGTCAGGAGTAATATGAGAGATATTGTAAGAACCTGACTTTTCTACAAAATATACCTTGTATTTCACTAGAGGTCAGAACCTCGTCTCAATTGCCCTAATGTTCTAATGGACCTGTTTTAGTATTATTTGAATGTAGGAAGTACCCTAAGGAAAGGTACTAAAGACCCAGCTCAATTTTAAAATTCTCTGGGGCTTCTGATGTACTGTCCAGCTTGTAGAGAGAAAGCTCCCTGCTATATTTAGGCTGAAGGTCTTTACCCAATGTCAGGTTTCTTCAGGAACTTTTCTATGTAGCACAGTCCAACCTTACTCCTGTCTTGCCACAACTATTTTTTTAAAGCACAATAAAGAACTAACCCTCCTTTCTGCGCAAATTGACTTGCATGATTTAATCACACAGCCTTCACTGCCTTTATTTCTGTCAGGGTTTGGTGACTGAGGGACAGAGGAGAAATTGTGTCCCTCAAACTGTCATTCACCACAGTGCAATGGGCAGACAGAGCCAAAACAGTGTTAACATAGACATGGGACCAAATTCTCACTAGCAAAAGCACTGAGAATCAAGTTAGGTCTAACTGATTTCTGTTATTTCTATCTAATTATTTCTATTAATTGCTTTAAAATAACGTGCAATATGCCTAAAGATACCATTACAAAAACCTTTCCAGCAAAGCAATATTTAACATGTTACTCAAGAAACTCTTAGGAATTTGCTGCTAAGGAAATATTGCCAGATTTTTGGAACAGCAGTTTATTTAAAGAGTTTTGTGTAAGTTTTTCCCTTAGACCCATACTGACTATTTAATGATTACTCTATGACTGTGTCACAAGTTTCACTTGCATAGTGAAAGAACAATGTGACAAAAAATGTCAGGCTTTTAAATAAAATAAACATTTTAAGAAGCACTAATTGGATAAGCCTAAATTTAGAGGACTAACAGCATTTAACTTTTCATTCATCTTTCCAGAAAAATCTTATTGTATTTACCTGTATTCTAAGGCAGAAATTTACTTCTCTCCCTGAGTTCAGTGTAAGAAAAGGATTGAGAGATCAAAATTTTCTATGGGCTCTGTGATATTAAAAATTAGGACCACTACTTTACTAGAGGCTGAAATAATTGGCATTTATGACACATTTTATACTTACACTCTACTCTGTGTAAAAATAAACCATATTTCTGTCCTAGTTAGTGATTACTTTCTTACCCCATCAGTAATCTTCCTTCTCTTTTTTTTTGCTGGAATTACATATTTGCTGTACGTCCAGCTCCAGAAGACTTTGTAGTGGTGCACTGGGATATCAGGCTCTTCTGGAAGATCCCAAGTAATCAATGCATTTACACTCCCATCATTGTTTGCACTGATATTGGCAATCCTGATATTGGATGGAGCTGGTGGAGCAGATGGATCTGGAATTTAGAAAAAAATGAAAATATTTTAAGGGGAAAATTATGTTCATTAAGGTAAAGGTTATCTTCACCTCATGTATTTATAAAGGCATTCTTGAGCCAGCTCTACACTCTAAATACATTGAGGAAAATCCAGGCAAAGACATCCTGTAACTGATATGGTTTGTAAATTCAAACTCTACTGAAATAAAAATTATGGGTTAGCATCTAGTTTGCCGTTATTTTGTGTTGGTGACAGTTTAAAATGAAGCTTTATCAAAATGTACCAGACTATCAGTTTTCCTTCTGTCACTCACTATTTTAAATACAAAGCGAGTATAAAATATTCAGGTTCTACAAGTGGCCTTGTAGAGTCACCACAGAACTGTATGGCTGAAACATTGAATATTTTTTCCATTGCCAGATAATTCTCAGATGATGAAATTATTTTTTGATATATTGAGTTTTTCTTCAAAATTCTAATATTGATATCTACCACCATGGGACACAAACAGTTACTTAGTATAAATGTAATTAAAGCATAATGATATATTACACTGTGGTAGAAATCTATAGGGTTTTTTTTAGAATGTCAGAAAGCAATTAGCTACCCCTTTGATTTATTTCACTATTTTCATTCAATTCCTGGTCAATATCAACTGAGATAATATTCCTTCAGTTGTCTTTGTGCTGACTCTAGAATCAAGGACACACAACAGTCAGAGTTTGAATAAGATTAAATATTGAGTCTTTTACAATATTAAATTTAAGGTCCTCCTTGTGGATTCACTATATAATATCCTGGTCCCAAGTAATGTGAATCAATGAAGATTTTGCAACAAAGCTTCTGAAAGTCCAGTTTTGCTGTTTACGAACTCCTACTTTTTAATCTGATTTTTTATTTTATCTCCTTTTTTTAAATGTCTGAGTCAGCCAAAAATTGATGACAAAGCACAAGGAAACTGCAAAAAACAAAATTTACATAGAAGTAAGGAGTGAGACTCAAAAAAAAAAAAATTAAAGCATATCAAAAGAGTAAAAGAAATTCATAGTAATTAAGACATGTTACAAGTGTACAGCCATATGTGCCCTCACTTATTTGCCAGAAATAAAACTGGAGGTATGAGGAGGGGATATGATACATTTATTTACTGTATGGTTCACCTGCATTATTTTAAATTGGTAAATGAGCTGTTAAATAAACATTCCTGGCATACTTAATTCATCAGATAATCCCTATGACAAATGATCTCAGTGAAAAATTCTATCATTTAGTTTAAAAAAAAAGACACATTCAGAGTTAATAAAGACAACATTTTCATTTTAAAGATCAGCAGATGTGAAAAAATTACTTATTCCTGTTATTAAACAGGACTTTTACTGAAATAACAATGGATACTCCTGTTTCCTCACACATATAATTCAACCTAACTTTTGGCCATAAAAGTCACAAAGCATACTTAAGAATTCTGGAAATTTAACATAATTTCCAAACAGTAATAATGCCTCACTTCCCACTTGTGTTTTTTAATCCACTAGCAGGTCAGTTGCATGGTTTTTTTTTTTCCTGGCTTTGGAGAAAAACTGCTGTTACGCTTATTTCCTTATCTGTGAAGTTACCAACCACTCCATCTTAAACTATACTAAACTATTTATTCCAGAATTAAAGAAAAATTCAGCTAAATAGTTTGTACTATTCTCTCATAAAATTTTTCATTTACTTCTATTATTTAAAGGGTAGGTATAAAATGTAATTTAGGTAAACTAAATATAAACAGAATCATGATTCACACATATAAGACATTTTTTAAGCATTCATCTCCACTGATTTAAAATATTAAGGGTTTTTATATGTTATATGACATTATAATAGGGATATAAAACATTTATAACCTGAAGTGCAACATGATCATATTACTGTAGGTAAATTATTCAGGTTATCTCCCAGAAGTGCTATGCATCATCTATTATGTATACAAAACACATGAGATAAAATAAAAGCGTTTCAGAGAATATATCTTCCCAAATGGTCAGATATAAGCAAAAATAATTCTACCTATAAAATATGTTTGTCCTCATTCTACATCTACAAAAGATACAGAGTAATTTTAAAAAAGATTAGGAAGTTAAATGAAACAGCTCCTTTGGACAAAGTGTATTACATGATTAAAAACATTTTGAAGTTCTCTTCACCAATTTTTTGTACGTCTAAAAACTAATGATCAAATTTAGATTCTTTCTTTTCAAATGTTTATATGTCCATTCCAGCAAAACAAAGCATGTATGCACTGAAACATTGGTTTCTGAAACATTTGATCATTTCTTCTAAATTCTACATCACCAGTGTATCTGCACTTTCTATAATTGCACAGTGTATTGAAAACATTATCAAGTAGCATTTCTTCTGTGCTCACTAGATGCAGTCCAGGAAGCAGACAAAATGCTGATCCACATTTGAAAGAAAATCTATGAATGCTTCTACTTTGCTGTGTGAGAATACAAACATTGCATTAAAAACCACTGCATAATTACAGTTAAGGATAGAAAGAACGTCCTCTTAGAAGGAATATACGTGTGAAATAACACAGCAATAGCAGATATTTTCCAAGCCTCTCAAATATCACCCATAAAAATGCCTTTGAACAAGAACAGTGGTGGTGGTAGAAGACAGAAAGGAGATGTGCAGCTAACAGACATGAAAAGGTGAGACACTGAAAGTAACATATTTTCTATGAGAGCTTTATTAAAACTAGTAGGCAGATTAAGAAAACAATTAGCCATAAAGATATAAAATATCCAAGAAAAACAAAACTTGTTATAGTTTTGCATTTAATCAACTGAAAAAAAATCCTGTCTTTTTGTATGGATGCATCAGTAAAATGTTTCATGGATTTGGAGTATATTACCTGAAATATTAAGACACTCAGTGAGCATTTTATATCAGATTATGATACACTCCATATTAAATGCTTCAATACCACTATATAATTTATTCATCTATTTTTATATATTTCTGTGCCATTTATCACTATTACAATTGACAGAATGATAATTTTGTAAGTTAAGAACCAAGAATATTAATTATTTCTTGATTTGAAATAATTTAGTTTCACCAGCAAAGCAGACAAGTGAGAAGGAATAGCAGGGTAAGATAATGTGATCTCTGTTAACATGAAGAAAAACCAAACAACCCAAACCCCACATTCAACGAAAGCACTCCAAAAAAAACCCTTCAACCCCTAGGCCTCCCAAAAAAACAAGAACCCAGAAAAACAAAAAACATGTGACATGTTTATGAGCATGCTCCTCTACAATGCATGCCAGCCAGTTGCCGCATAACAAGTAAATTGGTTTTTTCTGCACAATTGAATGGAATAGTCATGCTTCTGCAAGGTGGTCTGTTATGCCTATGTCCATGTAGATATTAAAAGCACTATACAAGCCATGCTAACATACTTCAAGGTCTAATAATGGGTACTGAATCATAAAGCTGCCTACATAAGGTGTTTGTTAACCTGACCATAAAGCTAAAGTGACATTCTGCTGACTATAAAGCTAATAGCCATTCTACTGTTAGTCTTTATATACCTGTGATCCCTTTGACTGACTGCCCACATGTATAATTCAGGTACACAGATGTAAAATTTCTGGAATGGAAACTGTTGCCAGTTTTTCAAATGCAAGTACTGATACTTTATATATATGAATTTATCTGAGTATTAAATAAAATTCTTTGGTTTGCAGAAAGAGCAGTGCTGGTTGCAGCTTTTCCTTTGCAGTTTATACAACAACTCAAATAAAATACAAGTCATTCTATATATCCTAGAATTTGGCACAGACAGCTGCCCTCAACTCCTAAAAAAATTTTGGTCTCAGCAGCCTGACAAGTAAATCGCTTCTCACTGCTAGAAATGATAGCTTCATTAGGTCAAGGCTGAAGCTGCTGTTCCAGCACATGGGGTAAGTACTCCATTTGTCTGGATTGTGTTTGGCTTGAGTATACCCAAAGGACTTAAATTCCTGTCTTGCTGGCTACTCAGCCATCACAAGCAAAATTCTGTCTCCAGTCCCCAAAAGGGAGGATTTCTTGCTGCAAATAAAGGAAAGAAAGAAAACACTCACATCATCACTATTTCAAAATGAACATCTTCCTGCAGTCCTATTTGTGAATATAGTAATAGTTTATATTTTCCATTTTTTTTTTAATTAATAGTATTTGCAAACCTTTGCAAAACCTTAAAAAACAGTATGGACTAGCTATACACATGAATCACATCATACACTGCTTCAGTGCATCCACTTTGTCTTTCAACATGGCAACTCTAGTGAAAACAGTAAATGATTTGGAATAGGTGTCAGAGGAGAATAATGGCATTGGAATCAGAATTCTCATTCTGAGCTGTAAAAGTGAGAGCAAGTGTGACAATAATTTAAACTGTTTTTTTAATGGAGCATTTTTCTTGCCTTAAAATAGATCTCCCATTGCTATCTTTCAAACATGAGACCTTCCAACTCTAAAAGTCGACTGAAGCTGCTCTACAGACAAGTTTCCAACCATTAAACAGTTCCACAGTGTAAGCAGGAGGACTGGCTCTGCCCGATGGAAATGGCACACATAAGCCAGCTGTGCAACAGCATAAAAAAATCATTGGTCTCAAAGGAGCAACAGAAGGAATTTTATTGCCATGAGTGGGTGTCTGTTCTGGTTTTTCTAACACTCTGTAATGTATGCATGAGATCACATCCAGCCTGGTACTTATGTGCTGCAAAAACAATGTTGTCTGCTTCCTTTTTCTTGACAATCTATCCAGTGTATGCTGGCAATTGCCTTCATGGTGCAGATAAAAACCATTAGTAGAGGTGGAAGGGTCAGATGGTTTGGGCTCATTGTGTTGATCTTCTTGTCTCTGGAAATGGCACAGTACCTACCTACAGACTAGTGAGATAATATATGACATAGAAATGCCTGACACTGAGTCCTAGAGTTAACTGACGTCTCTGTTACTGTGAGTTCATTCTCATCACAAATTAGAAAAAGCTAGGGAAAAAAATAGCCTAAGAACTCTGAACCAAATGCAACAAATTAAAAATTGTATTATTAGTGCCGAGTAGCTTCTGACCAGTTAGGTCAGTGCCTGCTTACTGGAAGAAAAGCACAGGTAGTTTTCATCCAAGGAGAATAATTTATGGATTGTAGGAACAGTTCTCTCCTTCTTCCAGGAGAAAGGAAACAGATTGGAGAGATCAAAAATGTTCTGTCAGGTATTCAGTTACCTTTTTTGCTGTAATTGCAAATTGTTGCCACTCAATTAAAGACAAAAGGAAAGTATACAAAATTTAAAAACCCTGAAAAGAGGAGTGGAAACCCCACTGCCAAAATAGCAACATTTTGATCAATTTCAGTTGACAGTATCAATGTAAAAGTCCATGTGCACAGTCCCAGTTATATGAAAGAATTCACTTTCTAGGTGCAATATTCACTTAATCTTCCAGCCACTCCACCACAGACTGATCTAGTCCAACCTATGTTTCTTGTAATTTTATAATCGCATTTTGTCAAAACAAAGTTTCACTTTATTCCCTGTGAAGGGTCATGTCAGACAAGTACATGCAAACCCTTTATTTCTGTTATAAAAAAATAAATAAACAGCATTAAAAAAGAGCTCTGCCTAAGCTTTGAATATTTCAAAAATTCTCAGATGTGTCACTATATTTACTATTTACAAATTAATGCCAACAAATTAATGGTCATCCTAGATGAGCACATGAGGCAGTGCAGAACAGCTAATAAACCTTCACCTCACAAGTTTACAGTATAAGAGCATCCAAAGCTGCAGTAGATCAGACCTCAAAACACAGCTAAATGAAGAATGGCAAGTTGAAATGCTTGATGAAATACTCCTGCTTTCCTGGTTTTGTCTTTTTCATGACTGAGAAATTGAATTACTTTGGAAAATTAGAAGTTTTATTTAGTGATAAACAAGTTAATGGAAATTACCTCAGAAGACTTAGCATCATTTTGAATAAAACAAAACCTTATTTTGCTGTGTCTACTTAGAGAGCATGTTTTTTGCCTTTTCCAAAAGACAAAACAGTATAAAAGAGTATTGTGGTATCCAGACAAAAATTCTCTCTCTCTACAGCACGTTTTTGACTATTCCTCTTAACATCTTAAAATATTTAGTGACAGAGACTTTGTGGTGCCATACTTCTTTCTAGATTCAGATTAAATATCATATTTGTCCCACTTTGAAGGAAAAAAACAAACCCAAATAATTTTCTATTCATAATTATTTATGAGCAACTGGTAAAAGTTCAGTATCTTGCATGAGAAACTGTCTTAGAAATTACTGTCATGTTTCCTGATCAAAGGGTTTATTTTTGAAGAAAGCTTCTGCTAAGTTTGACCAAGATAATAATCTTCTCCTGGTCTTGGCACAACAGGGTGAAGTGAAACACTGATGTGAATTTTTGTCCACGCTTCACACAAAGGCAGCAGAGAAAGGCAGCAGACTTCCAAAGGTGATGTGCCAAGATCCACTTTTCTTTTCCAAACTGGAGGTTAAATGTGCCTGTAGGAGCTCAGCAGGGGCCAGTAAGATGCTGGCACTCAAAAAACTAGGCACATTTGAGCAACAGTTTCTTGCCTCTCTACCAGGCAGGGGCTGTCATTTCCCACTGAGCTCCAAAATAGTAATTAAATGTTAGTATGACAGTGCAACTGTTACAACTCTGCCCACCTGGGGATATGGAGGCTCACAGACACCAACAGAAGCATCCCAGTATCCTTTCCAGCAGTCAGTACCTAGCAGCATCTTCATGTGAGTCACCTGGAGTGACTACACATTTCATCTGGCAAACTCGACATCTTTATAACAAGCACTGGCAGTTCCACAGCCCCTAGAATGGCCAAATGAGCTGCCAGCATAGGCTGATTTGGGCTATGAAGCTGATAGCTAGCTGAACTCCTTGCTGCTTGTCCGTCAATTCACAATCCTCTGCCAAGGGCTGGAGTTCAGATTTGAAAAGTTTTTTTAAGAGTTACAGAAGCCTTTTGAAGAAGGCTGACTACATACTTGCTGCCATTATCAAAATTTTGGTTTATTAGGTAAGAGCGTGCAGAGGTACTACTGACTCCCACTGCCCTTGTCACAAAGTCCTAAAAGTGCTCTCCATCTCCACTAGACAGCCATGAGCAGTTCTCAAGGAGAGCAAGTGCTTCAGGGGTAGCTGCAGAGACCACGAGAGGCCTCTGGCATTCATGTAATGATTTCAAAACCACAAGTTCTTGAAACACAAAATACTGACAGCTGAGAGACTACTCTGAAGAAATACCCCTATGTGCTTATCCTGCTCTTACACTATTATCCAGACACCAACCTCTGGCTGGGGTCGGAGTCTGGGCTAAAGAGACCTTCAGGATGACTTACCATGGACATTCTTATATTCATTACCAATGAATATAAGTATCTTGAGCATGGCTAGCACACTCAGTAGGGGGCCAATTTTTTTGAAAGTAGTACAAATCCTGTCTGAAAATGTCATGTTCAAGCCAAAACCTCAGTGCTACCATGACATACCTTTCTGTAATTGCAGTAATAGTGGTTTCAAGCAGAATAGTTGGAAAATATTTACAAACTCAATAAAACAACTGTCAATTATCTTAATTTAAAAGAAAGTTGGTGCCAGATTCAGCAACAAACTGCTGTATCTGCTGAAGTGCTGTTCAAGCAGTAAAGAGAAAGGTACTGCTGCTGAAGAGTTCTTACAGTAAACTCAAGACAGCTCGAATGAACTGTATTATTTTGTGTTTCTGAAATTGTATGCTACTTAAGTATCATAAGTTCTTAAAGTAATACTTCTATGCACGAAATGGTTTGGGGTCACAGAAGTAATGGGACAGCTATGTCAGCCAACCTTCCTACCACAACTACAGCTAGGGCACCAAAAAAATTATTAAGGCTAACATATAGAGTTATTCAGTAAGTGATTAAACCTTCCATACCAGTAAAAGTATTTGCATGCCTCTGTAAATGCACGTCCAAAAAGATTTTTTTCTAGGACTGACTATGGTCAAACAGGAACCCAAAGATGGCAACTGCTTGTACTGCAAGATAATTCAGTCTGCAGAAAGATGAGGAAATGCATTCCTCAAAGTATGCAAAGTTACATCAGTGTAAAGATTCTGTCAGTACTAAAATAACAACACATCTATTAGAAACTGCTTCTATTAGTAGAGGGAAGAGTATTGGATCTCATTCTTGCGCACTAAAGTCGACTAGCATGGTCTGGATATGCCCACATTACTGACTGCCTTTCAGAGAGGGTGACCATATCTCAATCATCTGTCTAATGGGAATAGTTTCTGGCCTGTGCTAACCTCTATTCCATGCCTAAGAGTCATCTGGGAAAATTATTCTTCATGTTGGCCAAAAGCACACCAGGGGGAATGCCTGGGACTTCACAGGATGGAAGAACCGTTTCTATCTCCTCTATCCCTCACGTAACATTTACTGGTACAGAAATAATTTTCAAAGTTATTTTATTGCCCAATTGGTTGCAAAACCAGAACTATCAACAAAAATTTCTACAATACTTTGTGGATCATCAGGAATGTCTTTTTAATGAACAGAAACATGCTGCTTTGCATTTATGCTCTTTTTTATTCTTAAGCACTTACAATTAGTGCTAGCAAGGGGAAATTATATTAAAAGGGTCCAAAGCTCCATCAAAACAATGCTGCTATAATTACTTAGATACAGGCAACAAAATATCCCAATACTCTACTAAATAGTTTTCATAACGAAAAAGAAAAAAGTATAAACTTCTCAGATTAACACACTGAAACCCAAGTTCTTCCATATTTCACGGTCAAGGTCATGTAGTTTGATACCAATTATTTCAAAGGAGTTTTATTCATGGAAATTTCAATGTGGAAAACATTTCAAAGGAGTTTTATTCATGGAGACCCTTAGTGATAAAAGAACAATGACACTTCAACTTTTGTTTGCAGACTTCAAACAAATCTCGCACCATTTCTAAAGTCAGCAGCAAAATTACTCAAAAACCCACCTGTTCAAAAACCTTCTGCCACAAAGGCAGGCAGGTCAGGTTGTGCTCCAGGTGGGAGTGCGTGAAGGTGAGTGCCAGACAGCATGAGGGAAAACTCACCTCTGGAGGAACGGAAGTGCTTGCTGGGCGCTGTGAAGCCCCTGGTCCCATGCACGTTCACAGCAGCCACGCGGAACTGGTACCACCTGCTCGCTCGGATGTCCGGCAGCCGAACGCGCTCATCTGTGGTCTGGTGGGGAAAATGTCACACTTACACTGGTTGTTCTGACATGGTTACCTGTCATCTGCTGGGCAACACCCATCAGTCTGGCTGGGCACACACCAGCATCATAGGCTGTATGCAACCACCTCACCTGACTCCAGCCATCACTCTGCACTGCAAAGCATTTACAGCTGTGAACAAAATTATAAAGCCATCCCATTTTACAGTGCATTGCAGGTCTCTTTTGGAAAAAGCAGCCTTTAGAAAACAGGTGTTGTTAAGTCCACAAAATTAATTTTGCAGCTATCACAACCTTCACTAGTGTTTATGGTATCACTGTTCAGGTGTTGATGTTTCGGGAAACTCGTTGCCTCAGGTGACGGGACTGATTTCATCAATTCTCAATTCTCAGAGAAATAGGGATCCAAAATACTTAATGAAATCCATTGCTGTGAGAACCCACTTTTTCTAGTTCATAGGAAACACAATATTCTCAGATAATGAGAGTAAGCCTTCTTCACATCTTTGGCACTTATGTCAAAAAGACACTTACAGCCTTAACTCTTCCCTGAAGACTTTTCTCAGGTCATAGGAGCTGACCTTTTCTCTAACAACACCTACTGAGATTGCCAGTGTCATAAGTTCAATTTCCAAATCCTGAGGGGAGAGCCACTGAAATATGACATAAGCATATATACACTCTGAACCCTTTCAGTAGGAATTGCTTTACACATTCTTATTCTGAGCCCCTTTTTCTTCAATTTTTTTACCCCATTAAACTTTTGAAGAACTATCTTTTGCATTCTTTTTTTTTTTCCCCTAAGGTACAAATACCAGAACTGAACACAGCCTTCTGGTAACCACTGAATCACTTCCATCTACAGAAGATGTAATATTTTTGTAGAACACATCAAAAACACATCCACTTGGAAATTTTATTTTAGCAATTACCTCTCAATTATCCAGTTTTCAATTTACTTAAGTATGTCACGTTTACTACATTTTGATTTAATTCCTTAATCAAAGTAACGCATGAACATGAACCAGATGTCATATATATGTCTAAATATATTATACAATCATCACTGATTACCATTACTGACCAAACATGCAAGCTCATTAAAAATGTAGTTACATCAATTTATTTTTACAAGCTCTGTTTTATACAGAGCTTTCAAGGTGGCTTTCAAGAAGCCACTTTCCCTGTATAGGACTCAACATTTCTCATAAAGATATCAAGCAGTTCCCAGAAAAAGGCAAAACATTACTTCTGCTTTATTCTCCCTTTCAAATCTGTTTAAGAAACCAGAAGCTGCTGACATAAGTCAGATAACCAGAAACTGAAGAATTTGCTTTAGCTCTTCAGCAATGGCCTTTTCAGAGCCCTGACAAATAAAATTTGTAGGTGTCCACTTAGTCTCTTAATTTGGTGACAAACAAAATTTAGGGAAATTAGTATCTTATTTGTGTGTGCATGTAAGGAAAAGAGACCCTTTCTAAACTATATTATTGAGTGCTCTCAGACAGCTAAGTGTTGTAGACTCTGAGCACATCACATATTGCTGCTACTCAGAGTCCCTCTCCGTTCAGACCACTGCCTTCTCAACTTAAGCAGGAGTAGCAGTCCTGACAGTCTATCTCATGTCCTTTCCTTTTTTTAACTTTTATGTTACTTGTAGAGTGAATGATCCAAGGTTTGCCCCGGGGAAGAAAGACCTACCTGAACCAACTTTTGTGATTATTTTATTTTATGGAGTATTCAAATATCTATTTTTTTCCAACAGTCAGCTCCCCTGTTGCTGCAACTGAAAATAGGTTCAGGACCAATATTTAGTCATAAATAACTAGTTACAGTCTTCTGGGCTTTTAAAAACATGCTTGCTGAATTTTGTTACAAGGCAAGCATAATCTGAATAACTTAATCCCAAATTCCTCAAAGGAACGTTATTTGTCACTGGCATCAGTTCAGCTATTCTGTTGATTAAAAGTATTTCAGTTGTGTCAGTTTCCCATGGCAACCACAAAATAATGTAAAATCAAATAAACTGTTAATCCATAATGTCAAAATTATTATAACTTATGAACATGCCTTGGGCCTGTTACTTTCATCATTCATTTTGTTGGCCAAGCTCCTGATAAGCTAAATGGCGTGCAGGAGGTCTATATCCAACTATCAAGATATAAACCACTTTGACACCTCTAAGTATCTTTTACACAGAATTAATAAATTTCTAGAAATAACTAAGCACTATTAAGATACTGAGTACTACAATACCTTAATGCTACGTCTATTTTTTTTGTTTAATTGCTTTATTTTAGTTAGTTTTCACTACTGAAGTATGTTTGGAGCTGCGATCATAATATTCAGAGTCCTTTCAATATCTTTCACATTAATTTCAACCTACTAAAAGCTATGCTGAATGCTACCAAGTAACTGATGGTTACATTTCACCACACACCTAAAATTCTGTCTGAATATGAAAGAAAAAGATAAACACTTTTATAAAATTTCTAAGAATCATAAATAAAAGACAAAAACAAAAGATCACTACTACAAATTATTACAGAATCATATTTACTGTTGTTTTGCCATCAAATCACTTGCTTACTTACAAGATGAATGTTTGGAAAGTAGCTTCAAATCCTAATAGGCATTTTATTTGGAATAAAATAATAAGTTAGTCCTCAGACAAAATAACTGGCCAACATGTCCACCTTCAGTATCATGCAAAGTTCAATGAAGATAAGGGAAAATCCCTATTAAGTACATTAAGATGAAACTTCATATAAGAGCAGCATGTAATCTTAATGACATAAGCTGGACAATATACATAACACCTTGACATTCCTTCTCAAGAACTCATTTTGTGTCCAAGGGACAACAGACCACTTCCAGTAGCAAGAAAGCAGGAGGAGGTTGGGCTTTCTGTGAGAATTTGGCTGAGATTTACCCAGAGCAAATCTCTTCCATTTAGGAAGCACTGACAATTCTACTCCTCTTCAAGCAGCTCAACTGTTTAAATCCTGAGCCCTTTCCTGTAAGTGGTCTCCTCATCCAGTCCTTCAAAAGGGGATTATCTGTTACTGTCTTCAACGTGGCTACAGAAATCTCCCTCTGCTACTCCTCTTAATCATTAAGAACATCCCAGAGCATGGATGACCTATCTTCAATTCCATCCTTTGTATGAGAAGCAAGGGGAAGATATTCCCTCACACCCTGGATATTGCATGCCATTTGGAACTATAATATGTAATTATATTTATATGCAAACTGTTCCTTGGATAAAGAAAGGATGAAAGCTAAAATTTTTTGTAAGGCAAAGGTGGGATTTACAACAACTGAGAGAGAGAAAAAAGAGAATATATGACCCAGGAGCATAGCAGTTTGACCATTCAGGTAAGATTCTTGTGTCAACACTCCAAACAGTGTATATATGTTATGAATATATGTTAAAAATTGGTGCAAAGAACTCTTCACAGCAAAGACTTGTACAGAGGACTCTATCCACGGATTACAGTAATCAATGGACTGTTTCACTATGCTCATTCCCTATTTTTCCCCACCATGAATCCTGGACTCCTTGCTGTAGCACAAAGGTTTTATAGAAATAGGAGAGTACAGCCTTACCCTGCTGAGTTCACACCTTTGGAAACAACACAGGGATAAAAGAATTTGCATTTCAAAAAGTGAAGGGATACCATCCAGGGTATCAGAAAAGCAGAGTATATGCTTTCTCTGATACAAAAGAAAATCTGAGTTTTATATCCACTATTCTAACAAAGGACAGCAGACCTGCCCTATTTCATGTGAATGCAATTCCACACAAGGTGGGTACTCTCTAAGACTGCTTACTAAAGTAAGCCCCCCCTGGGAGATAGAGAAAGAAACCTTTAGTGTACAGGACTGGTGGTTAGCTCCAGCAGGTATTTCTCACTGTCATGAGAAATTCCTTGTGATCCTCAGAACCAGAACTTTAGGTGTTTCAGAAGCTTTATTTTTGAAACAGATTATCTGTCCACAGAGTTTAGACAATTGCAAGGTGAAGCACTAAGGTCTGTCACAATCAAGATATCAGTAAATACTGTCCTTTATTTGTTTTAGTAATGGACTAGACTAATAGATGTACTTCATCACTGTCTGCCCATATGTATATATATATATGCGTGTTTGTGTGTGTGTACATATGACATCCATTCACACAACAGACATGTTCTGTCTGAAAGTAACTGGTCTGGCATATTTTAATTAACTTTATTATATTATAGTAATATGATTAAATAGCTGAATTTCCAGTGTAATGCTACTATTTTTAGAGAGAATTAGTACCAAATGGAATGGTAAGTCTGTTCTCAAGACCTACAGTATTTCCATAGGATAATGCAGCAGTTCCTGCTCAACTGGCTAAATCTTAAGTTACAGTACTGTAGGAAACTTCACATAACACTTAGGACACTCTACATCATAGCCAGCTTGGCCAACTAGAATCTTAGTTACCAATGGAAATTATTCAAATTGTTAATTATATCAAGTTTTCCACAAAATATGCAGTAAAAAAACTACATTAAAAATCTCTTCCTCTGGAAGTGAAAAATAACTAAAATTGTTTTCAATGTGTTTGCTTTCCTGATATAATTGGAGAGCAAAATAGTATACTAATAGATTGAGCCTTCTTCCTTAAAAAAGAAAACACAAATGGTACAAAAAACATGGCACAATACAATAAACAAACTTTTCAGAATTATTGTTTCAATACAAAGCAAAAATTTGTGTGAAACATGAGAAATTACTTGGAATTTAGCTCCTCTAAGGGTAATAGAAAACAGCAAGTTTTTTTTTTCAATTTAAACACCTGAAAGTTATTGAAAATTATAATCTCATTTGTTCTTGGACAACTAACAAAAATAAAATATTAGATAAGTAACACTGATGAAATATTATGAAATTTCCTGTAAGATGTGAACAATAACTTGTTTATGCTACATATAGGTATAAGCATAGAGAAATTCAGATCCTCACAGCCTTTTTGATCTTTGACTGTTCTTCACAAAGTCCCTACCTTAAGCTGCAGCATAACGCAAGACCCAGAAACATCTCCCCTGGACTGAGATGCTCTAGGAATTTTCAGCTAAATGGCTCAGCTCTTCTCAGCCTTTGCCTATAATTAAGGGCTCATACCGCAGTATTTTGGAATCATACAAGAAAAAAATCTCAGTTACACAGACAAGGAAAGCCTGGAGGCTGTGCACACAATCACTTTAGTCAAACTGGATATCCATCCTTGCTGCTGATATTGCAAAATAAATTCTATCACATTCAGCCAAACCAAACTGATTGCCTGGTGGGATGTCTAAAACTACAAACACCATGGAGGTACACTACTCTATAAGGACAGAAATTCTGATTAGTAGCACCCCTCAAGGGTGCCCAGCCTGCATGTCCCATAAGGTATACACAGTTCACAAAGCCAGTCAGGCATCCTGAAGCATGCTTCGAACTGACATTCCCAGTGGGGTCCTCCACACAATCAAATTTATGTCTCCTGTGATGCAGAAGGGACAGTGAAGTTGTCAGAAAGATGTCAGCTGGAGGAGGCTTCTCCTGCCACAGTGATTAACTCAGTTCCTTCTGCCTGCATTCACCAGACCCCAGGAAAGGCAGCTGTCAGGCTTCTTATTGCTCTAGCACAGGAACATGTTTCTGAAACAATGTCCTGCAGACCCAATGCAAGGCAGGGCTCATGTATGTTCAGCTACTGGGAACATACAGTGCATGTTCCCAGAAATGTGCATGAGGTCTGGGATGAGAAACAGCAGAGCACTGTGCTCCCTTTGCAGCCTGGATTCACCAGCCACAGCTTCTACAGTCTATCATACACGTGGTTTGGTAACAGTGAGGAATAATTCAGATCTAGCACGTTTTTGCTACTTGGCATTTTCCTTGCAGGAAAGGAAAGGAAAGGCAGGAGCTTTTTTTCTGGAATGGAGAATGCAGGTTCAATACTTGCACCTCAACTGAGAGACCATAAGCCACTGTGACTTGATCAGTTTTGGACATGCTCTCTTGGGCTTGCACAAGCAAGGTTTCCTGCCAGGGTCTGCTGCAGGGGGCTTTTTCTGAGCAAGACTACAACACAGTGACAGCTCCCTCTAGCACCATGCTGAAGCTAAGAAATTCACTTCTGAGTATTCAGTCTCACAAGCTTCATGTTTTTTGTAAGATAGCATTTTCCAACACAATCTGAATTGAGAACGAACACCAATTGTCACAGAATTTAAATCCCTTACTCCATTTTGTGGATGGTTCTACTTATTCTCTTTCCTTTTTTTTCCTAGCTATAATGATATTTTGCAGATCTTTTCAAAATCAGCATTTTATTTTTCTTGTCAGCAGGGATAAGGGTGAAGCAGTAAGATAAACGATTGGAACTCTGCCATCCAGGTGGACTGTCAGCATGGTAAAAAACAGATTGAAACTGGGAAGGAACTAAGTGAAAATTTATGCTCTGTTGGCTGCTTCTCATTAAGAAACATTTGCTCATGAGTCTTACATTTTCAGTCTGGATTGCACTGAGTGATAAGAGCATGACATCATAGACTTTTATGAATTGGGAGGGTCTCACACCTGAAGAAAACAACTTTACAAAGAATAAAGGCTTTAGTCATTTTTTTCACTCTGTCTTTTGTTAACTTTTGACAAGAATCAAGCCATGCCTTGGACACTGTGCAATGAGTCCCACTAAACTCAGGACTGTCTCTAATGCACTTCCTTGAATGGAATTTGGTCTCTAATTCAACATTTTTCAAGAGAATTGTGACATTCTGAGATTGGATCCATACTGCTTACAAAGAACTGACCTGTGCCACAGTTTGCCAGTTCGTAGCATCATCCTCACTTGGATGGATTCCTTGATTCCACCTCCTCTGAACAACATAGATTACAGGCTCAATGGAAATATTGAATTTTGAAGACCACTTCACCTCCAGGTCTCCAGACTGATGTTCTATGAATTTTAATTCTTTCCGGGGTTTCAGTGGAACACCTGTAGTACGAACACACAGATAAAAATATATGAGTAATTTATAAGATATGATTAAGCCATTTGTAGATGAAGCTGTAAAAAAACAATTGGAAAAAAAGATAGTTTGTCAGAGAAAATGCCAAAAAGGGAGGAATGATAAGCATGGAAGTTTCAGAAGTGTTCCTAGCTAACCTATCTCTGTTAACATTAAAATTTGTTTTAAAAAAAAAAATCTTCAAAATTATTTCTTTATTTCATTAAAAAACTGGAGGATGTGAAAGTTGTAAGCTAAAACTGACTTCACAGAAAACATTTGCCTAATACAACTGGGAGAAAGATCCCTTTGATCTCAAGCAGAATCAGCTATACTTGTTCAGTTTTTCACCCAATTTACCCTTAAACACATCTGATAACAAAATTTCCATAGCATCGCATAGTAGTCTATTTCACTATTTTATCCCTTCTACAAGAAAGCTTTCCCACTGCCTTGTTTAGTCTCCTCAGTGCACCATAAACTTGAAACTGGTCCAAGATGTTCGTGGATCATGGGGAACAGATTCTTTCTTTTATCTATGCAGAAGCTTTTCACGTACCACAAGACTGTTACCATGCTTCTGAATGTTTTCTTCTTCAGACTAATAACCACAGTGCATTCCATTTCCCTTTAAAATTGGTGTTCCTAGACCCCTGTTCACTCTTGCAGTTGCCTCTGGAGACTCTCCAGCTGCCCAGCAGCCCTTCTCCAGAGTCAAACCTAAAACTGGACACAGACTGTGTCTAAGCTCACAGCAGTGCAGACCACTGAAGTGTGATTATTTCATACATCTTACATTAATCTGATGTACTTAAGAAAGCTGTTTGCTCCCCCGTGCCATGATCTTATTGACTCACATGCTGCAGCTGTACTGCATGATGTGTCCCTCTCCATTCTTTCCTCAAGAGCTAGGAAAGGCAATTCCAAGACATCTTGGAATAGATGTGTTATGTATATTGTCAAATTGTTGCATTTCAGAGAAAAACATATATTTCTAAAATATTACTGTAATTTCTCATTACACAGTGACACAAAAGATGGTTATTTATGTTGTTATACCGCCAGTATCACCTTTTTGAAAACATCTCCAGTAGCTTGAAGGAAAAAACAACTCTTCAAATTGGACATCTTTTAATTAAATCAACAAATCAAATGTTAGATACATTTCTCTAGACAGATGTTAGGAATATTTATATTTGAGTGCGCAGCATTTTGTCACTTGAGGATATGTCACAAATAAGATCTCTGTGTTGACATATAAGCTTTCTTAGCAAGTTATCATATGCATTTTAGTTATTTTGTTGTTTCAATGACTGTCCACATAAGGCCAGCTGTATGTATTGGTTAGAGAATTGTTTCCTACTCAGTCTGCCACAGACGACTTAGTACCAAAATTTCCTCGGTTGAACAAACCACTTCTACATTTTAAGGGGTGTTCTTATAAATCTGAGTATACAAGTACTTAAAAGTAAGTGAAAATGATCTTGTAAGTAAATTAAAATGACCTTCAAGAAACTTAAAAGCCACCTGAAAAAAAAACAGAGTATCTAAATGTGGTTATCACAGCAGTTTAGACCCTGGATATCCTTCAATAGCCTAAAGACTTAGTCTAAGATAACGAACACGACTTCAGATTTCCACATTTGCAAATCCTTCTTTAGTTATGATAAACAATAATCCTATAATTTGCACGTTCAGAAAACTTCCATCTGCTTTGCATCAGGGGCAGTTGGATTCACTTGATTGCAAGTACCTCGGTGTTACATAATCGTGTGCAGATGGAGCACGGCAGCGCAAACAATGAGCACAGCACAAGTGCACTTTAAAATACTTCTGTAGAGCCAACACCATCAGTTTAATATCCAGCTGTGAAGATCCAATTACTCATCAATATGCCTTTTATTATCTAAATGGTCAGCCCCTTTTTTTGTGCTGGAACAAATCAGTCCTTGGTCTGCAGCACTCCAAAGTCTGCATTAGTCCAAAGTCTGCAGTGCTTAACCAAAGAGTTCAAATCACTGATCACTGTATGTGTGCAACAGCAGAGTCCAGGAAAAAAGGTTCTAAAGGTGTTTTTCAAACAGCACATGCATCTCTGTGCCACGAAAAGTAGGCACACATTGTTCTGTCATGAAAACCCGTATCTTAAACATTGGTTCCCCCAGAATTAAAAATGTTTCCATTGGAGTTCCTTGTAAAAGGTACATCCATGGCATCAATACAGTCGTAAGCACAGTTCTGCAAGGACACTTTTAAAACTGTACTTTTAAATTTTTTAATTTAAATTTTTTTTTAATTAAAAAAATTAAAAAATAATTTTAAAAACAAAATTATTTTTCTTTAAGCATGAAAAGAGTTATTAAACTGTGCGTGACCCTTGGACACCTGTTATCCTACTATAATCTTTCCAAATCTGCCCTTCACTATTTACCTCTTTTACACAGATTTTCAGAGACATATTCTCAAGTCCTTCACTAGTTGAACCAGTGTAAAGAAGGGGGGATGAGGCCAGTGATAGAAGAGTAAGAAAGAACACTTGATATCTCCACTAAAGGGACATAAATATATGAAAACTACATAACCAATTAGTAACACTCCCAACAGAGATGCAAATGTACTTATTACATTAATCCAAAATCATTTGTAATATATGTCCTTGGTGGCAGTGTACTTACATTAACACTTTTTTTTTTTAGGATTGGGCTTTAGCACTCAGTACTAGAGGGCAAATTCAGTTTGGTAATCCAGCAAATCAGATGGGAATTTTACATCTACTGTTGTAACTAATCTCCAGCACCTGATCAACAGTAAAACTACAGAAACTTCTGCAGACTCTTAGATTCAGTCTGAGTTCATTTCCAAGCTGTGAGTGCTGAGAAAATGATAAGAGTAAGTACTGAACTTATTCACTAGATCTTAGTCATGCTTGCAGAGTTTGCTCTTCCTTAGTGACAGGAAGGTCATTTACCCCTGGAGGAAATGAATAGCAAGCCTGCTCCACTTCTATTTGTCTTTTGTTGCAGAAAGACAGGTTGAAGAGGCTAATTAGTTGAATTCATCAGCTGAGAAGGCAGTAGGGTATTGAGCTTGCCCTTCCTCTGCAAGACATATATGCTCTTACAAGCCAGCACCTCCTGCAGATCCATGATAAGATGTTAGGGAAGGTTAGCTCTGCTCCCATTTAATCAGGCCAAACAGAAGAGATCTTCCAGTGTGCAGTTACAGAATATATCATATCTTGTCATATGCTGTGACAGCTCCAGGAGCATTTAATCTTGTTCTATTTGTTTTTTTTTAACCTTTTCCAGTTATTATATTTACTGGAATGCTTTGCAGTTGTGGCATGGAAGTTGAACATGTAAACCATTACACACACAACGTGAATACCTGTTTACCACTCTGGTCATTTGTCTCAATAAGACAAAAGACATAAATAAGTGATCCATTTTAATAACTTTCATTTTGAAAGTGCCATGTGTTGGTGTGTACTAATCCCTTATAGTTTTAAAGGGGCTGCTCTAAAGTATCCTGCAAACAAGATAGTTTCCCTTCTGCACACATTGAAAAAGATTTATTAACATTTTAGTTAAAATAATTAACTTAAAAATATATTCACCATCTTCTTTACCTATTTTATTATTTTTTCCATCCACATTTGGAAATAAGGATGTATTCAAACCTAAGCCTGGAGCTTAGATTAGAGTTTTGTTGATTATGCTCCCACAGAGAGCCCAAACTATCTCATTGATAAGTGAATAACTGAATAATATTTATTTTTCACTGATATAATATTATCACTGATAAAAGAAGAATTGATTCTTGTTAAAAAACATCAATGATGTGGAAGAAGAATATTCTTTTCACAAAGGCTTGTTTTTATGCACTAGGAGAACATTTTTCAAAAATTTCCATGTATAAACTTTTTTTTTAAATTCCAGTAAATTAAAATCTGGAATTTGTCTAAACAAAAAATTTCTTTCACATGTTCTTTTCAAAGGATGTCAAAGAAAAGGTTTATTCACAGGATCTCAGGACTCAAATAAATTAAAAAATTTTGAACAAGATTGCCTTGATTCAAATAATGATTTAATATATATGTGTCTGCAGATATTATAATCTTTCACTATGTTGTTCTGTGTTGATTTGTTCTTTTACCAGATTATTTGATTATTTCACAGTTCCTACTTGGTAGTCTCATCTACTTGGCCTGTAGATGGGACTAAACACTATTTCTGATTAATAGGACCTGAATTGTTTATCATTAAATATTTTCCTGCTGCATTCTCTCTCATCCCATCAAATCAAGTGAGATTTCACCTAAATTGGCAAAGTTTGCTCTGCTCAATATGACTCATAATAGTCACAAATTTACATTCCACAAATTTCCAGACATGGGCTTCACAAGGGGGCAAAAAATCAGAAATTTAAGCAACATCTCTCTCTGGTTTTCCACCCTTTCATTGTGCAGTCACATCTCTACAAGTACCTCTCCTTTTTCTTCCCATCCATAAAAACTCCCAGCAAATGTGAGTCCTGGTTTACTAGGAGACTTCACTATGGCCTGAAGTTGTTAGCCCAGTATGAGTACATATTAATAATCTCTACCTTTGTACAGATTTTTTGGAATTTGGCACGTGTGACCACATCCATTAGAACAACATTTCTTCACTCCAGAACATTCAATATCAGCTTCACAGCTTTCAACACAGGCAGCTGCAAAACCACTGGCCTTCTCAGGTGCTGGGCAGTCCCCTTGCTTCACAGACAGGATGTACTTAAGGAATTCACAGCTAGTTAGGCATTCATAATTCTTCTTGGGGAAAAGAGGCTAAAAGGAAAAGAGAAGAAGGGTATGTTTTCAACAGGAACAATAAAAAAAAAAAAAAAAAAGAAACCAAAACCCCATCAAAGAAAAAATGTTATAAATTTCCAATACGTCCTAAAGGATTATTTAGATTTCCAGTTTTTGCAACACTATCCCTGAATATTTATATATTCAAGCCACTTCTAAAAAAGCATTCCAAGTACAGAAGGATGAATTCCCTCAAGTAAGACCACCATATTTAATGGAACAATTGTTTATATCTGCCAGCTTTCCCTTGTTTTCCTCACATTGACTGGCTATAAAGTTGCTCAATGACAGATTAAAAACACTCCCAAAACAAAGGGGAAGCAATGGTCAGACAGTCTGCTGGTTTTGGACTACCCCACATTCTTTCCTCTGTACTTTATAACACTTTCCCCACAATATCTGATGTAATGCCATTCTAGATAAATAAGGGAAATCTTTTTTCATTATACTGTTTGAACTAAGTTGGCTAAGAAGATTTTGCAGCATCTTTATGTTCTTGCCAGCATATTAGTAACTGTATCATTCTTTGTGGAACTGAAATGGCATTTATGATAAAATGATCATCAGAAAATAATAATTTAAATAAGCTTTAAATATATTGATTAAAGATCAAAGTGAATGCTACTTACTTGAGAAATCTAGGCCTAGATATTTAAGAGGATGCTTCAACGCATAGACATTTTACAGCATATGTAATTTGTAAGGTCCACTTAAAACAGTATTTAAAATAGCTTCTACAACCCCAGGAGAATATGGTGTTTGACATGGAAATTACATCTCCTTTTTTGTTTAGTTTGGTGCAGATCCAGCTGAAGTGATTCCCTCAGAATGACTGCAGCATGTAACTGGCATTGTCTGCAGCTGGCCTTTCCATTCTAGAGCAACCAAAAACCTTCCACCCTGACAGATCTGATTTACAGGTTCCTAAGCCTACACAGGAGTTACAACCCACTCTCTATATCCAGCCAGCCACGTAACTTCTGTAACTTCTTCCATATTCAAATGTTTTACTTTCTTGTTTTTACTCTTCTCACATTTCTGGCAAAATGAGAAAGACTTGGCTATTATAGAGGCCTGGGTGTTTCACAGACTATTCTCTAAAGTCACTGTGGCCCAAGAATATATCCCTACATTACCTCTCCCATCTTTTCATACAGAACAGTCCAGAATTTTGAACCAAGCTTTCAGGCATGGATTTGGGTGTTACAGGCTTTAACCAGCCTAAACACTGCAAAAATGAGCAGTTTCTATGTCTTCTACAGACCCCAGTGATTCTTGGACATGCACTCCTGCTGCTCCCCCAATTGGCTTGCACCTGATGCCATGGTTAACCAGTTAAAAAGCTAAATAAGTAGGAAACTAAATGTATAGGGGGAAAAAAAAAGTCCAAACACAAATAATCAGATAAATTGTCCTTCCACATAAGGTTCCCTTTAACATTCAGTAGTACACTCATTTGGTAGATAAGAAGTAACACGTGAAGCAGGAACTTCGAAAAACACAAAGCTAAATTGTTGCTTCCACATTTTTTACAAAATGCAAAAAGATTGAAAACACTCTCACAGGAAAACAGCCTCCTTTACCTCAATCAATGTCTATGGAGTATGCATGAGTCTGAGATAAAGGAAAGTGGTCCCCGGCTTTTGTGTTTGAAGCTAATTTCAAATCCTAAAACATCACAAATTTGCAGCTACTTAATTAAAAATGTTATAGCTCCCTGAGGCATAATACGTCCTCAAGGCTTCTCCTCCTCACCCTATTTCACAGCTCATTTTTCAGTTAGCTGCTAAATGTGCTGCTCCTCATTATGGGCCTTTGAAGTTCTAAATTTAGCCTTAACCACAAAACACTAATCAAAGAAGGATGCTCACTGTTTTTAACTACAATAGAACAGTGTTCTACAAATGTTTTCCTTTTAAACTAATTTTATACAAATTTTCACCCATATCTGAAAACATATAGTCTGAGTGAAGAGCGATATACAAGAACAGCACAAATTAGATCCATGAAAACTGCTTTTTTACAGTATTCTAGAATTCTGTATATGAGAAAATCATCTGGGTTAAAAAACTCTTACAAGGCTTGGTTTTCATAAGAAACCTTTATTTTGTCTTCTGTTGTAACTACACAGATCAGTAATTCAGTAATCGCTATTAACACATTGTTGCATCTAATATTTTTTTAGTTGAAATTACAGCTTTTCCTAATCATCTTCATAATGCTTCAAATAATTTAAATGTAGGACATTCTCTTATACTAGAAAAAAAGTGTCCACAGTAAAGAGAAGGAGTTAAATCAGTGTACCAATAAGATCAGTATATCAAGTAAGGTCACTTCTATTTTTTTATAGGAAAAGATTAAAATCTTCTTAAGAACTCACTTTCATAAACTTAATATATTTGAGCCTTTTTGATAAGAAGGCAGCTTTCTATTGAGCTGATACTTTCATTTTGAACTAAAAAACACTTAAGAACTGCAACAGATCACTTCCACCAACTCAGAGCTATGTTTCAAATCAAATAAAAAAATCTTCTTTGTTCTAGTTTGACTGATTCAGGTTTGCTTCTTCAGAGATTATTCTAATAGATGGTTCAAAAATAGTTTTCAAAACATTTGTTCTTGAATAATTACATATTTTGATATTGGTCTTCTGAACTTCAATCCAGTTATTCCTGTGGAACTACTCTTTTATAAATCAGACTGACTTTCACATACAGGAAAGTCATCTGTTCTAGCTATCCTGCACAAGGATTTTTCACACATTTTATCTTTTAAACAAAGATTGTCTTTCTTACACAGGGTCAGAAAAGATAGAAGGGCAAGTGGTAGAAATAGCATCTTAGAGGAGGGATGTAAGAGCACCTTCTGAGAGATGCTACGTAAGTGTGACTGGATTGAGTCTTTACAAGTCGAGATAAATCATTTGGTCAGTAAAAAAACCTTTTCTAACTCAAAATTAATATGGCTGCATTGTTAAATGTGTATCCTTTCAAATGAAGGCAAATGAAAAAGGACCAGCAAAAATACCATGGTTTTCAGCTGTCTACTTGAAGCTAATAATTTAAATTAAAGAGACTGCTAGAACAAAGTGGGAAAGTGTGCCCTTGGGCTGACCTACCTCACAGAAGCTTTGGCAATGGTTTTTCTTCAGGTCCCAGGACTCTTTGCAGGGCTCCAGGCACTAGGAAGAATCAGGAGGCAGAGAAGTGTCAGAAAGAGAAAGAAATAAACAACCACAAGTAACATTTCTTCTCCAGTTTTTCGGCCCACAGGAAGTTAATAATCTACTTCTCCTGGGGATATAATTTTGTCATTGAGTCATGGTGTCAGAACAAGGTCACAAGAAGCCACGGTTAGATTACAATGAAACATTTTCAGTATTTCTTACAATACAAGGCAATTGACTCACTTGTTTATTATGTCATCTTACTTTCCAGCTTCCTGCATGTAGGTCTTGATATCATCTAACCCCATGCTCCTGGATGACAGAGACAATGCCAAAAGCACTACTCGAAACTACAGAAAGTGAAATCTTTTCCTCACTGACCAGCCTGAAGTTTAGACAGGCATATTGCCTTCCCAAGCGAGAAACTATTTCATCAAGCTATGGAGTAAACTCAGCAGAGGTTAAAACACTATTTCTGTATAAATAGATAATGTTCACTGGTCTGTTAACAAAATCACTTTATTTCAAGTACCGTATTATCATTATTTCACCTTCAACCTCTGTTGCAATGGCTTACAAAGAGCTGAGATACAGGGCTATGCTTCACACAGCATAAAGAAAAATCAAACTGTTAAGAGCATTTACAACAGCTGAAACATAAATTCAGACTCACATCCAGAAACCTTTTCTCTTCCTTTGTTAAACATAAAAAATTGAAAAATAATAGCATTGTTGGGACCTAATGATAGCTACCCCTCCTGGTAATAGTGTAAAGATACTTATATTACCAAAAAACAAAGGTCTTTGACATGCAATGCAGTATTTAGGTAGTTTTCTCTCATGCACAGTATTAGATTGGATCAATACACACTTATGCTATTCAAAATCAAACATGAATACATATAGACTACACCTCAGGGGTACACCTATATCATTAATGTAGTAAAAACAACAGTGTTTTTAAAATTAAACATTTTTCTACTAGCAACAAAGCCTAAAAATGTAATAAAATCATTAGTCACAGAGGTTACATATTTCAGGAAAAAATATGCTTAAGCATTGCTTAAGCACCTAATGCACTTAAGCATTTTCTTTATCTATATTTTGGTATTTTAGACTCAGTTTCTAGCTCTTCAAAATTCACAATGTGTTGTATACAGATTAATTAGAAGGATACATTATAAAATGTCACTGAAGTTAGTAAATTAAATTAATTCCAGTGTTGTTCCTCCTGTGGTATAGATACCACACATTTGATCTCAATTCCACTGTCATGTCATTTTGCAGCTCTCTTGTTCAATGAATTTAGTCCAAAAATTACTGAGGTATAAGTGGTTTAAACAAAAAATTAGAGATATTTTGACCATTCTGTGACTTTGTCAGTGATGCCCAAGACTGCCAGGCTTGTTGAAGGTGTTTGTGCCAGTGTTCATCTCCAGCGCAAGTCAGGCTCCAGCACCTGACACCTCATCAGGCTGTCACTGTTCCAAAGCCACTCAGGACAGCCCAGGCTGCTTCCACTGGGCCCCAGCAACTCCTGCCTCAGGGCAGGCAGAGACAATGGACATCTTCAGGGGAAGATGGACAAGATGAACCAGAGTTGAGCCCTACCCTGCAGTCCAACTGCTCTTGGAATATGCCAAGGAAAAGAGATGATGGAGCCTGTCATAAGGCCTGTATAGACCCTTACAGACTCTGGCCAGGGTACACACTTACCTAAACACTTACTTAAACAAAAATAACTTCCCTACTCCTGCTGTATGGAGTCCCCAGAACTGGGCTAGCCTGGCACCATGGGCAGCTGCAGAAGCTGCCTGCCTTTGGTGGAGCTGTACCACTGCACCACGTTGGATTAAGAGTAACTGCTAGCAGACAAAAAAGTTGCCAATAGACGATCTGGAACTATCTTCCTAAAGAGATGGTTATTAACCTTGCAATAGCAAAGATGAGAACACCTCACAAACACAGGTCTGTGCATTTATCCTCTCTAACCTCCTATGAGGCTTCCCTGAAGTGGGAAACTAGAAACATTGAAAGCTTGGATCCAGGTCTCACCTTTGAGTCGTTGACTTAAAATGTAAATGAGCTGAGATCCCTCCCACTGTCTGGTGATCTGATTCAGGATAAGGAGGAATCTGGGCAGAGCAGCAGCTGGCAGCTGGTTTGGTTATCTAATAAAAAATACCTTGCAGACACAGCCACCTCCCACAGAAGCTAAGCTTAGGCATGAAGATGGCACACCTCCAGCAGGCAGCAGGGCACTGGCACAGGGATAATCCCAGCAGTCCATCTGGCAGGTGCCACTGGTCCCTTGGAGCCACCACTCACCCTGCCCTGGCACCACACGTGGGCTCTGCACTGCTGAGGCAGGATGGGATGTGGGTCGCAGATCACAGAGCTGAACGTCACAGGACAGTGGCACTCCTCAGAAGATCATGGGTGTCAATCACACCAGCCTTGATAACTCAAACCCTCCTAAAGAGCTTGTTTCATCAAACCCAGTGCTTAATTCTGGAAGTTGGAGGCTTTTTTTTCATTGTCCAGACTGCTGCAGGGTGATTATTCAGCACTAAGCAATTGTATCAAAAGCCAAAACAATTGCTAATAAAAAGCACCCCAGTATTTCTCATCCCTCAAAATGTGTGGGGGTGGGAGGGTGTGTGTACATCCACAAACTCTCATAGGTACAAATCTATGTATAACACAATACTACAGACATGCTGATATTTAGACTGCATAAAATTAGAAACAAGAGCAAAATACGGTTTCATTCAAGGAAAAAGAGTTGTGATTGCTTTAAAATATTTTGTATTGTATTTTTTACTTCATCTTTTTTTCAAAGCAGTGTTAGAAAATTCTTTTCTGTTCTAATTTTTAATCTATAAACAAAGCAACTAGGAGATTAGCATATATGCATACCATTTACATTAATTAGTAAAGGGAGTTTCAAAATAAGTCCACTAACACTTTTGCTTAGGAAATGATGCATTTGACCTGGGTGGAAAGGAATTATACCAACACAGCACATTTCAGAATCTAATGAATTGCAAAACATCATTTAAGTACTGAAATACATATTTATTAAATTACTACATATTTATTAAAATATCATATTTAAATTAAATGGCTGCAAATGACATTTTTTAACTATTTATACAGCAAAAAAAAAAAAAAATTCTGTCACAGTAGAAGAGACTATCCACAATATTTTTGTCTAAAAAGGCTTTTTATTTCATCAGAGTGGAAACCAAGACATATGCAATCTGTTGTAAAAACAATGCTAAGTATTACAGCTGGAATATAATTATCCTTTTCATTGTCATTTACCATTCCCTCTGCTTCCAACAGCAAGGTCAGAAATTAATGTCTTATGTTTACAATACAAACACAAGATAAGTCTATTTACACATTTGTCTCTCCTGTGTTAATCCATGCCCTCCTAAACTTTTAGATGGGTATAAGATCAACAGCAAGTTACTTCCATTCTGCATATTAAAAGGAAACAAGTGTTTGGTTCTCAAACTGAAGTTAGACATACTTTATTAAAGATCCTTGTTATATTTTTTCAATCTGCAGTTTAAATCTCTTCCCCAAAAAACACAGGTGTGACTGTATGTTATAAAATTAAAAGCTTAGGTAAACAGGACTACATGCAGTGAGAATTTCAAGAGTGAAGAATCCTACACAGGCAGGTAGGTGAATCTCTTTGCCCCAGTGGATCATTCCCAATGCTCTCCAAAACCCACGCTGGGCAGCTCAACTGATTCAAAGGCTTCACATGAGCACTGCTCCATGTGAGTGGCTCATGGTATATCACATGGTATTGCACTCAGCTTGTGGGCAACTCTCCTCATGACCAAGTGCCAAAGATGAGGCATTGCAGCACTTCAGCTATTTCAGCAATTTCAGGTGCTCATACACCCTATCAGGTCAGGCACCCCCTGAACACATCTATCTTGTTTAAAATAAATGTTAGAAGTCAAGCTGACCTAAAGAATCAGTCAGTTACTCAGGCTGAAAAAAATCCATGAACCCAAAGAGAAGGGTTCAACTGCAGAATCAGTAGGTGCCATACTAGCTTGTAGGTTGATGTATGCTGTTCAAGAAACCTCTGAGCATTTTGTGAGATCCATTTTATGCCGAGTTAGTCTCTTGCTCCTCTCCTTTCCCTCTCCTCCCTCATTAGCAGAATGAATCATCAGAGCACTAGTCAGCTTTCTAGAACTCAGTGTGACATCTTAGCTCTGTGCTGGTTTAAGCTGGGACAGAGTTGATTTTCTTCACATGTGGGTCACAGAGCTGTTGTCACAGTATTAGTACGGGATATGTTTTGGATTTGTGCTGGAAGTAGTGTTGATAACATGGGGATGTTTTTGTTACTGCTGAGCAGTGCTTACAAAAGGCATCAAGACCTTTTCTGCTCCTCACCCCATCCCACCAGTGAGGGCTGGGGGGCGCAGGAGTTGGGAGGGGACACAGCAGGGACGGTTCATCCCAGCTGACCCAAGGGATATCTGTCCTATGCCATATGGCATCGTGCTGAGCACATAACGATGGGGGAAGAAGGAAAGGCTGGGAATTTAGAGTGATGGCCTTTGTCCTCTCAAGTCACTGTTACATGTGATGGAGCCTGACTTTCCTGAAGATGGCTGAACACCTGCCTGCTCATGGGAAGCAGCAAGTAAATTGTTTTGTTTTGCTCAGATGCACAACTTCTACTTTACCTATAAAACTCTGTTTATCTCAAACCACAAGTTTTATCACTTTTACTCTTCTGAATCTCTACCCCCATCCCATCATGGGGGGAGCTGACTGAGAGGCTGTGTGGAGCTTTGTTGTCAGCTTGGTTTAAACCACAACCAATTCCTAAACTTCAGTTACACAATGTAGACTGAGAGAGGTTTACATACCTTCAAAACTTTGAAAGCCTAATAGAAACAACTGTGGAACATAATCCTTTTGTGTAAAATAGTAGTTTCATGTGGCTACCTGGAGTTACTCCTCTGTTTATATTA